AGTTTGTTTTGATGTGACGTCATTATGAAATAGCGCAATTCAGCTCAATTTGGAGGACATAACAATAGGTTTCTACTTCTCATGAGATTGAAAATCTTTCCTTGTTTTGTCCTCCAAAATGAGCTGGTTTGACGTCACATGCAAGGTGTCTAATATCACAGCAGAGTTTTTGTTTAAAAATCAATCGAGGAAAATGTCAACCAATAGAACAAAGGGATTTGGCGTGACTCAAAGTAATCTGGCGTCATTCAAAAGTCACGAATCACGCCAGATTCCTTTGTTCACAACTTAAGCCTCACATCAGTGCGAGTTTTGAATTTGGTCTATGGCTGGATTACAACTTTAAAATACGCCGTGGACCTATATTACAATAGACAATGTTAATCGGATAAATAGTTTTTGTCCTAGTAATCTCTCAAGGCTTTAAGCCAGCTGTGAAATAATGTTTAACACATTTAATTTATTTCCAGAATTTCCTAACATCACATCCCTAGATGATATAGACATAAAAGTCCTTTATAATTCGAATATTTCTCTGAGCTGTCAATCAACTGGAGTGCCACGCCCCAACGTCGAGTGGTTGGTAAATGAACAAGCTGTTGCTGGGCAACGGGATATTAAAGTTTTTAACGAGCCTTTCATCACGAACATAACGATTCACGTGAAAAGCAACACAGAAATGAGGTGTACGTCAAAGAATCGAGGAGGGCTTGACAGCGTTAGGATAAGAGTCACCGTGGAGGGTAAGTACTGATAAATAATTGTAATAAATAAGAGTTTTTTAAAAAATCCCTGAAAAGTCGAACGAAATGGGCTGCCTTTGTCGGAGAGCCAGTGATAATTTTTATTAATCAATAAAGCCATTTCATGTGACGTCAAAGCAGGTCAATTTGGAGGAAAAAAAGGAATTTCAATCTCCTGAGAATTGGAAACCTATGCTTATGTCCTCGAAATTGAGCAGTGTTCCGACGTGATGCAAGGAGTCTTTAGGTCCTTTCCGCAGGTGCTCTATTAAAAAACCCAGGTTTATTAGGTACCACAAGTAACTCAAATAGATTGTAACTTTCGTTTCTTTTAATTCAGACGATGATGTAGTGAATGTCAAGGCCATAATTCGTCTATGGAACATGAAGTACGATAAATCCTTAGAGAACCCTCTGTCGGGAGAGTATCAGGCTCTGGCGAGCAGGTTGACTTATGCGGTACGTAATATAACTTCTTTTTCTCTCTAACCAACTAAACATTTTAGAGCGAATTTTTAGGATAATTTTTTCATATTGGGAAAAATATCTTCCCTTTCCAGATTTTCAATTGGCTTCATTTTGAAATGTGTTGGTTGAAATTCCTATTGCTATGGAAGCCCTCTTACTGCCAGCTATATATGTATGACTTCTGAGTAAAGTATAAGGCGAGCAATTTGTATGGTTTATATTGTCACGTGACTAACATGGAAAGCCATTTCAGTGCCAACGATGTATCGATATCATTGTAAATAACAAATGATAAGGTGAATTTGCTTTGACAAAAGTGGAAGCAACATACATTTTGTGATTTGATCAGTCACGTGACTGACGAACATAGGAAACCATTTCAGTGCCAACCCCAACGATATGACAATCTTAACAAGTTTGGATTTTCTTTTCTCAGATATCCAGTCTGTATCAAAATAAGTTAGGGTACAAGGGACTTGGCATCTTATCATTCAGGTTGGTCATGAATACATTTTTTAAATATCAAAATTATATAACTTTTTTCCTTTACGACGCTCTCCAGTCATAATTGTTTTTAAGATCTGATACTTGATTTTTTGCACAATTTCAGCATAATATTACTAGTTATGAATATTGAAATAAAAATTTTGGGATAAAAGCTGCGAATTCGGCGTAAAAAACGTTTTACGATCCGTACAATCCAGTTAACCGACGTCCAGTCCATTCCATCCATGCAGGTTCCTGATTTTCCAAAAATAAAGAATCTTTAAAAATTCGGAATTTAGGCGCATAAATCAATTTTTAGAGGTTGGGTATGCTTTTCCTGTACATTAAGATTATCCATACCATTTTAACTGCTGAGAATTTGATTTAAAAWTTTTTTGCGAGCCAAGATCCAGCTAGCCCACGTCCAGTCCTATCCCTCAGTCTACAAGATTCCTAATTTTCCAAAATAAAACAAAAAAATCCTAAAATGAAGAATAAGGGAGGTGTGAATTATCAGAACATCAGAAGCAAAATTCAAGTTTAAGAGTTTTAGCATGTTTTTACTGTAGACAAAAACAGTCATATTTTCATAAAATGAAATACTTACATACTGGTGATGTCCAGGATAAAGTGGTTCGACCATCGACCAAACGATCTAAATTATCTATGTTATCAATACTTTGATTCTGGTTGTGCCCGGGTTAAAGAGGTTCGACCATCGACCACAGGATCTGAATTATTTATGTTATCAATACTTTGATTCTGGTTGTGCCCGGGTTAAAGAGGTTCGACTATTTACCAAAGTTCTGTTTCTCCATGTTTTTCAGACCAGGCTCTTTAACATGTGAAGTGCTCGTTCGGTTCAGCAAAAATAGCGAAGAAGAACTGACGAGAATATTAAAAGATGCAATAAACTCAGGAATGATAGCGAACTTGACTGTTGACTCCAAGTATCTGGCTCTGGAAAAGAAAAATAAAGGTATGTAGGGGTCATCTTGAGAAGGTGCCAATGTTTCATTTTTTATCTAACAAGTAGTCATTGCAACATTTCTGACACGAGTAGGGTACGAGGTCAAAACAATGGTCAAAAATAGAGACCCTTAGATTATATTTCGATCTAAGATAACTTTAGCATATACACTTTCT